TAAAAAATTTATTCTTTATATCGCAAATTAAATAAAATTTGATGAAGTAAAGAGGAGATTTTTTACTTCATTTTTTAGCATGTCATTTCATATAAAAGTAAAAATATAAGTATTACGTTGTTTAAAATATTAAAATTGTTGATAAAATTATTTAAATTTTTTTATTAAATTTTTTTTATAAATTACTAAGTTAATAAAAATTAAAAAAATTTACAATTTAAATCATTTTAAATTATAAAATAATACAAAAAAACCTTAGATGTTACAATTTTTTTATTTATTTATAGACCTTATTTTATAATTTAAAATAACTCAAATGATAAAATAACAGAGTCATGAAGATATTTTAGTGTCTTTTTATTACCATTTACGCCATTTTTAATTATCTATTCTGAATTTCCATTAATTGAACTGAAAAATTACTACATTTTTATTTTTTGGTACAAAAAATTACTACATATTAACAAGTGGAAAAGTAGAGGACAATAGATAATGTACGTTGGACCATTCACTTCCACCCAAAACTCATTGCATAACAAAGATTTTCTTCCCCTTCGTTATCCCTCTCCACATAATTCAAAACACTGCTCTTTCCTCCTCCCAAATGGATCAGCCATGAACATACCTTTACCTTCTTCACGCTCCCCATCATCAACCTCTACTTCATTTCCCTCCACTCTCCACTGGGTTTCTCTACCTCCTTCCGCCACGGCCGCCGTTGCCACCTCCAAACCCACTCCTCAATTTCGTGTAAGGACCGTTTCCCAACACCAATCCTACCCCTCCACAGCCTCTTCCATCACTGCCTGGCAACCACAACCCGATGGCAGTTTCAATGAACAAACCCTCCTCTCGCTCCTCCGCCAGAGGAGAACAGAGGAAGCTTGGATTCATTACACCAAATCGACTCACCTGCCCAACCCCGCTTGCCTTAGCCGCTTAGTGTCCCAGCTTTCTTACCAAAACACCACTACTTCCCTCTCTCGCGCCCGCTCCATCGTCACGCGCCTCCGCAACGAGCGCCAGCTCCACCGCCTTGATGCGAACTCACTCGGCCTCTTGGCCTCCGTCTCTGCTAAATTCGGGCACACCCTGTATGCATCCTCGATCATCAATTCCATGCTCCGCTCCGGCTACCTCCCTCACGTCAAGGCATGGAGTGCGGTCGTTTCGCGCCTCTCAAGGGAGGATCCTGCAGAGTCGATAAAGCTTTTCAACTTGGTCACTGACCGAATCCGCCGCTTTACAGACTCCGCGATTGTGGCTGACTCCAAGCCTGACACAGCTGCTTTCAACGCGGTGCTCAATGCTTGTGTTAATTTGGGGGACAAGAGTAAGTTTCTGAAACTGTTCGATGAAATGCGTGAGTGTGGTTGCAATCCTGATGCCTTGACTTATAATGTCATGATTAAATTATGTGCTAGAGCTGGTAGGAAAGATCTGCTGGTTTTTGTGTTGGAGCGGATCCTTGAGAAGAGGATCCCATTTTGTATGACCACTTTGCATTCTCTTGTTGCGGCATATGTTGGATTTGCTGATCTTGAAGGGGCTGAAAGAATTGTTCAAGCAATGAGGGAGGGAAGGAGAGATCTTTGTAAGATTCTAAGAGACTTGAATTCGGAAGATTCAAGTCAAGTGGAGGAAGATGATGAACTTGAGACAGGTTTTAATCGAATCGAAAGAGATGATATACTAGACAAGTTGCTTCCGAACTCAATTGAGCCAAGCCACGAACCACCATTATTGCCAAAGGTCTATACTCCTAATTCGAGGGTTTATACAACTCTAATGAAAGGATATATGAAAGCAGGGCGTATCTCGGACACAGTGAGGATGCTAGAGGCAATGAGGCACCAAAATGACAGTGCCAGTCATCCTGACCAGGTTGCATATACTACTGTTGTTTCTGCTTTTGTGAAGGCAGGGTCGATGGATAGAGCTCGAGAAGTGCTAGCTGAAATGTCAAGAACTGGTGTGCCTGCAAATCGAATTACATACAACATTCTGCTCCAGGGTTATTGCCAGCAGCTACAAATAGACAAGGCAAGATTGCTTCTTAGGGAAATGGCTAATGCTGGGATTGAGCCCGATGTGGTTTCCTATAATATCTTGATTGATGGGTGTATATTGATTGATGACAGTGGAGGGGCTTTAACATTCTTCAATGAGATGCGAGCAAAAGGGATTGCACCATCCAAAATTAGCTACACTACTCTGATGAAAGCCTTTGCTTTCTCAGGTCAGCCAAAGGTTGCTAACAAGGTTTTTGATGAGATGCTTGAAGATTCGCGAGTGAAAGTCGATTTGGTTGCTTGGAATATGCTGGTTGAAGGGTATTGTAGACTTGGTTTGGTTGAAGAAGCAAAGAAGATAACTCAGAGAATGAAAGAAGACGGGTTTTTCCCCAATGTGGCTACTTATGGTAGTCTTGCAAATGGGATAGCATTGGCTAGAAAACCCGGAGAAGCACTTTTGCTATGGAAAGAGATAAAGGAAAGATGCAAGGTGCAAAAACAAGGTGAGAGCTCAGATTCAGATTCTCCTCCACCTCTGAAGCCAGATGAAGGACTTTTGGATACTCTGGCTGATATATGCGTGAGAGCAGCTTTCTTCCGGAAGGCATTGGAAATTGTAGCTTGTATGGAAGAAAATGGAATACCACCAAATAGAACTAAGTTCAAAAAAATATACGTGGAAATGCATTCAAGGATGTTTACCAGCAAGCATGCTTCACAGGCAAGGAAGGATAGGAGGATGGAGAGGAAGAGAGCAGCTGAGGCGTTCAAGTTTTGGTTGGGTTTGCCTAATTCTTATTATGGGAGCGAATGGCGATTTGAACATATGGATGGAGATGATCATGTTGATCGAGTGTAATTATTTAGTACATTAACTTATACAATGTCAATTTGATTGAAATATGATAAACTTCGGTTCTTTCTATACACAAAATAATCTGTCAAATGAATTCCAAGCAGTGAAGGCAATAAGGAATGCTTTCCTTTACGATTTACGAAGCAAGTTCATCCAAGCTACATTACAGAACCTTCGCAAAATTATATGAACGAGCAATGAAAGTCTAACTGATTGACAATGCTTCAAAACTCAACTTCTTGACCTCGATGATTGGCTCCGTGAATATGATGAAGATAGCACCTACACAAGAAAGTTCGATCAATATCAGTCATGACTCATGCATAAAAAAAGTCCGTCACCAGTTCATTTTATTTAAGTCTTTTTGTTAACATCCATGCTAAGAACACTCTGGAGCAGAAGTCAAGGTGTATTTGAATGTATGACTCAGTTTCTTAAGTTTTTCTAATGTCTGCAACTGATGTAGATCCCTGAAATTAATTTTCATTCTCAGATGTGGTGTTTGTGCTTGCCTAGAGCTTCAGAATAAACTACATCAGAGTACCTGATATGTCTTCGGCCCTTTCTTCAATAGATAACCTACACTGTTTAAGTTTTCCACAAATGTGTCAATATCAGGAACTCTTAGGCCAATCCTGTCTGCCAAGCTGTATATTTCCTGAAACACAAAAAGAGAATACAAATGGATTATTCAAGGAGCACAGAGTATATGCTAGGAAGTAGAAAGCTCAATGGAGCATGGGGGTATACAGAAATTGAAAAGCAATCCTTTTGCTGCAACTCTGATTGATTGTTTAGGGCACTTAGAAAACGTTTTGCTTCTTTTTGTTGACTCATGCCTCCACTTCGACCAAAGTCCACAAAACCATGCTCGTCAACATACTTATCAAATAAGGATTCTCGCATTATCTCAACCACATCCTGCCAAATATAAGCTCCAAATGATAAATCTCTAATCCAAAATTTAGATGTTATGAAGTTGTGGTTGAAGTGATTGGCTACTCAGTACCTAAACAGGAAAACTAGAGGAAGATCAAACAAGAATCCCACATTTTTAGGGTTGCATCAGGCATAAAGTTTTAGCAATTGAAGCAGTTTATTTAACCTCCACGTTTCTTTTCAGATAAAGCCAAAAGACAAATCAAAACTGATTATCTAAATATTTAAATGTAAATGAGACCAGAACAAGAAAGCAAACTAAAATAAGTGAATTCACAGAATCATTTAGCTAGATCAAACAATAAAAACAGATCATTATCAATTTATTTACTGCCTGTTAACCTTGCTACCAAGAAAAACGTCATCCTCTGCCAGAGGCAACATACCAAAGCATCTTGGGCTGTTATTTCTTCTCGTAAGTCTACCCTTGCTCTAGCTTCCACCAGTCTCACCAGACTTTCCAATTGTCTAGCTGTTATAGGGGTACTATCCGCAGATGTATTGTGGTCTCTAAGTTGCAAGTAGAATTTTTGTAGGATTTCTGCTGCTGGTTTTGACAACCTAATGACAGAATAATAAAACTATAACTAACAAGTAGAAGTATTGATATAATAAGCAAATAGACTTTTTGTGGAGTGTATGGGAGGGATTGTTTTAAATCACCTAGGGAAGACATAGGTTCTTGCATAGGCAATATACTTGCGAAGAAGTGCACCAGGCAAAGGAACAAAATCACCATCCTTCTTTGGGTTAAGTCTCAACCTTGAAACTAAAGAGTCACCTTTCAAACTCACATCTGCCCCTCCAGCATTTTGCAAATCTACATTTCCCAAATCAGAAGCCATATCTTTTAACTTGGTTTCACTATAATGAATCAACATCAATTGAAGGAAAATAAAAACAAAGAATGTGAAAAGACTATAGCAGAGAACCAATGTTTTATCCAACTAAAAGAAAATGTAAAGCCATCACCTCTACGAGGCTTCTTAATTGCTGGAGAATGTTCTCCATAATCAGCATGAATCTGCAAGTTATACAATTCATTGATATCTTGGAGTTACACAGATAGAACTAGTTTAGAAGGCAACAACATATACTAGCCAAATTCTACAACTTCATAGAAGTAGAACTGTATGCCAAATAATCACATAAATATATAAACATAAACATATTAAGGTTTAAATACCAAGGCTGTCAGAATGATTACCCACAACTATATTAGATGGCAAATGAATCAAACATTGATCATTCACTAAAACTACCATGGGCTTCAAAATGGTTGTATTTGGTTTTAAGAGTGAACTTGGACCAACAATTTAAAGTTGAAGTGTTATTTAGGACTTTTAACATTCTTGATTCCTTGTCAAAATAAAAGTATTCCTTTCCTCATATCATAACCCTCTAATTTATTTTTGATTTGCATTTGGCACCTGATTTAATGAGGGAGTAGATTAATGATGCTTGGTTTAGTTCTCCGCAGCTTGACCAAGGTTTTATATCTTAAAACCAAGATGCTTAACCATTTCAAGGTGCTTCTAGAATTCATTATGATTATTTTGTGATGTCCTGATCACTTTGTTCCAACAACTGTAGAAGGGTCAACACTCAACAGTAAACACAGATTAGTGAATTAGCTAGTAATTCCAAGTAAGACGATGCCATAGGGTTTATATTAGGAGTGTAAATTAAGCATGGTTTTGGGCTTTTAGCCTAAAGATGAAAACATATTCAGTATTTCAGACAAACTCTACATATTGAAAAGGCAAGTTTAATCACTTCAAAGAATGCACCAGTGTAAAGTGGTGGGATAACTTACTGCCATGATGTGCTCTGTGACTCGCTTATCCAGTAACTGATCAGGCTTGTCCAGTAATATGAAAACTAAATCAAATCGCGACAGCAGAGCGGCATTCATTTTCAAATTTTCATTCACTGTTTTTGCCCGGCTGCAATTAGACACTGACCTTTAGTCAATTATCAACTTAAATAACCACTTCTAAATGTATAATTCTCAGCATATGATGGTTATTTTTTGTTATTTTTTATTTTTTGGCTTAGATATGATGGTCAAATTTAAATCAAAGAATATAACTTGAAAAGAATTACTCATAATGACCACCAACAGGATTTGCTGCAGCTAAGACCGAAGTTCGAGCTGACAAACTAGCAACTAGTCCAGCTTTTGCAACAGAGACACACTGTTGTTCCATTGCCTCCAATAAGGCCTGTAGAAATTCTAATTTAAGTAAAGGATAGTCTGACTCAAGGGTCAAATGATAGTCAGGGAAAAACCTGATGTTCTGCAGACATTTTATCAAACTCATCAATACAGCATAATCCACTGTCTGCAAGCACCATGGCACCTACAGCAAGATTGTTTTGGTGAAGTTTCCCCATTAATTACATGCACTGCATAAAAACTATGGCACCCGGAACAGGTAACATTTGATTTATAAAGAAGTGGAGGAATTTACTACCAGCCTCAAAAGCATAGTCACTTGACACGGAGTCCTTCACCACGGCTACAGTGAGGCCAGCATTAGTCGTGGCATTTCCACAGACATATATACCACGTGGGGAAATGGCAGCTGCAGCTTGCAGAAGTTGGCTCTTACCTAATCCAGGATCACCTGGTAAAATGATAATTATCAAAGTCCAATCTACTAAGTGCCTCCTCT